CTTCGTGTACAAGTTTTTGTGTGAACATATATTTTTATTTCTCTTGAGTATATACCTAGTAATGGAATTGGCTATATCATGTGTTTGACCATTTGAGGAACTGCCGACCTGTTTCCCAAAGTGGCAGCACCATTTTACAATCCCACCAACAATGAGGGTTTCAATTTCTCTACACCCTTACCAATACTTGTTATTGTCTGACTTTTTTATTATAGCTATCTTAGTGGTTTAATGTAGTATCTCATAGTGGTCTTGAATTGCATTTCCCTAATAAGTAATGATGTTGAGCATCTTTTCACATGCTTTTTGGCCAATTGTATATCATCTTTAGAGAAATGTTCATTCAAATCCTTTCACCATTTTAAAATCACATTGTCTTTTTTATTGATGAGATATAATATGTGTATTTTCTATATATTCTGGATACCAGATCCTTATAAAACATGTGAACTACAAATATTTTCTCCCATTCTGAGTGATATCTTTTCACTTTACTAGTGTCCTTTGACTCTCAAAATTTTTAATTTTGATAAAGAGCCTTTTATCTATTTTTTCATTGGTTGCTTGTGCTTTTGGTATCATATCTAAGAAATTGTTGCCTTGGCTAGGGGTGGTGCAGATTTAAACCTAGCTTCCTTCTAAGAGTTATATAGTTTTAGCTTTTATATTTATAGGTCTTTGATCCATTTTGAATTAATTCTTTTTGTGTGGATATGTAGTTGTTCTATGTCATATGCTGAAAAGATTATTTTTCCCCATTAAATGATCTTGGAGCTCTGTTGAAATCCATTGACCATACATGGATGGGCTTATTTCTGGATTCTCAGTTCTTTTTTCTGGTTTTTTTTTCCTCTTACCAAGTTGTGATTTAATGGATTCTCAATTCTATTCCATTGGTCTATGTGTTTATACCATTACCACACTATCCTTATGCCATTATCACATTGTCTTTTTTACTTAAGCTTTGTAGTTAGTTTTGAAACCAGGTTGAGTCCTACAACTTTGTTGTTTTCAATGTTGTTTGTGCTCTTTGGGGTTGTTTGCATTTCCATGTGAATTGTAGAATCAGCTTGTCATTTCTGAAAAAAGGGCAGTTAGAATTCTGACGGGGATTGCATTGAACCTACAGATACTTGGGGAGTATTTCCATATTAACTATTGTCTTCCAATCCTTGGAAAGTTAGGATGTTTTTCCATTTATTTAGATCATCTTTAATTTAGCAGTATTTTATAGTTTTCAGTGTACAACTCTTGCACTTCTGTGCTTATATTTATTCCTAAGTATGTTATTCTTTTAGATGCTATTATAAATGGAATTTTCTTAATTTAATCTTCAGATTGATCACTGCTTCTTTTAGACTTTAAGCATGGATTTTAAAAATTATATTTTACTCCTATATGTATTTATATAAAAATGAATTTATATATAAGTGAATTCAGTTGCTCAGAGTATTCCTAGAACTTCATATGTTCAGAGACTATGTCTTCTAACAGTGAGCATGTTTTTCCTCACAATATGATCCTCTATGTGAACAGTGAACGGTTTCCTCAAATAGTACTCCACCGTTATAGGAATTTTCTTTCAAGCTACCAACAAGCATCCTTCACATTTTTATGTAGCCACTTTCAATTTGCCTAACTTAGTTTTGTTTTCTTCCTCAATTAAATCAAGTGCTTCTGGAAGTTTAAATAGCTTCTCTTCAAAGGTCACAGGAATTCTATGACAAACTGACTAAAATCTTAACAGAAATCCAGCATGATGCATGATTCAATCACCAATTTCCTGTTGTTTCAAAATTTCTTTCATCTATTCTGAGGAATTTTTCCTACCTCAGTTACATGTTTGGCATGTAATAAGTACTGCTTTTGAATGTCACAAAGCTTCATCTACTTGCAGGGTATTTTCCTTTCTTAGAGATTTCTTTTTTTTACAAGCACTCAATGTTATTTTATAAGAAGATATGAATTGCAGTAATTCCTCTAATGGCAAATGTTTGCTTCAGTAATATGAAATTTATGTCCAGCTGTTTTCATGCTTTTCTGCAAACTAATAGCTTTTCATTTTAAGGCTAAATTATGTGGGGTTTTTTTGAGACAGAGTCTCACTTTGTTGCCCAGGTTAGAGTGAGTGCCATGGCGTCAGCCTAGCTCACAGCAACCTCAAACTCCTGGGCTCAAGCAATCCTACTGCCTCAGCATCCCGAGTAGCTGGGACTACAGGCATGCACCACCATGCCTGGCTAATTTTTTCTCTCTATATTAGTTGGCCAATTAATTTCTTTCTATTTATAGTAGAGATGGGGTCTCGCTCTTGCTCAGGCTGGTTTCAAACTTCTGACTTTAAGCAGTCCACCCGCCTTGGCCTCCCAGAGTGGTAGGATTACAGGCGTGAGACACTGCGCCCGGCCAAATTATGTTTTTAAAGGCATTCAGGCAGCATATAACTTGGCACACAAGTAACTTGGTTAAAGTGATACCATCATGAATAATGTGACCAAGTTCACACAAGTACATGCAAAAACAACTTTCTCCTGGCCAGATACAACTGTAATACCCATTGGTTCCAACTGTTTGAAATTTTATTGCCTAAAGTGATAAACACCCCTTTTCTCAAACAAGAGGTGACATGGTCCTTACATAACAGTTTCATATAAAATGTTTCCTATATTTATGGGTTTATGATAGGAGCTAAGGCATCTCTTTAAGCATTCCTTAAAATTAGGAAACATATTCACTGCCTCTCTCTGTTCCCATTGACTTCTCCCTTCCCACTCCAAATTTTTTTTCCTTAGAGTTGGTGATCTCACCATTCACTTATCAGTTCTAAAAACCTACTGAGTCATCCATGGCTCCTCCCACCTAACATTTTGCTATCACCAACTCCTACCACTTTGACTTCCTAAAGATTTCTATACTCTGTTCTTTATCTGTATCCCTTCTACTACCAACCTGGTTCAGACAACTGCCATAGCCAATGACTTATTTCTCCACATCCATTTTATTATTTATTTATTTATGTACTTTAAAATCATGTTTTGCAGAGCCTCAAAGTATTTAAAATACAAACTAAACATGTAATTCCCTATGTAAAAGGCTTCAAGGACTCCCTTCTATACAAGAGTGTGACCAAGAATGCAGTTTCTGAATTCAGAGGGCTTTGATTTCAATTATTTTTTCTTACTGTGTTTATGGACCTCTTGGGCACATACTTATCTCCATTTCCAAAATGGGGATACTTATAGATTTTACTTATAAATAATTAGAAATAAATCTTTTTAAAAGATTCAGGGTCTATAATGAAGTAGAAATTTGGAGAAACTATTCAAAGCAGTTGAATCCATGGAAATTTAGCAAGCACTCCAGAGAGCTGATTTTGGCCTAAAATGAAGCTCTAAGCTTAAACATTAAAAGGGTGTTTAGAGCATATATACCTTTTGATCCTAACAGAATATGGTAAACATTTTAAATCTGAATGTAACAACTACTCTTCCATATCCTTTCTGAACACCTGTTATATTGTCCTATATTTTACTGGTCAGCAAACTATGAAGTTAGATGGCATAGCCAGTCATGCTCTGGTGTCTGTTCCCATTTCAAAGGAGAGAATAGGCCCAGAGAAGATGCCTTACCCAAGGTCACACAGCTAAAAAGGACATAAGAACTTTCTTGAGTCCCAATGCAGTGCCACTGAATCACTGTTCATTAATTATGCAGTTATTTAATGAGCATCTACTGTGCACTAGGCACTGTGAATATAATAATGGACACAACAAAGTCCATGTTCTTTCTCTAAGAGTTTATAGTCTAATAAAGGAGGGAGTATCCCCAGAGTTACCATACAGTGAGTGACAGGGTGGAGTAAGTACAAAGCACTATGGGAACACTTCAGAAGGGCTGTTTGAAACAATATATAATATTCAGAAACATTTGATATGTGGCTCAGCTTATGCTTCTGTAACTGTGAGTATAACCTAAGTTTTCCACCTTTGGAAACCTGCTAATTTTCAAAGACCTTAGCCTTTCACAGCCCCAAGCAAACGACTTACAGCTGGTATTTGCACACTGTGGGTATAAACTTAGTTCTGGGGAGAACTTATTTTACTTTGGCTGTGGAAACCTCAGCTTCTACCATTCCTCCTTTATGGGTCTACTGAAGTTCAGCACTTAGCAACATTCCTTATGCATCGTAGATACTAAGTAAATGTTCATTAAGTGAAGATTTCTTAAGTGAACACATCAAATCTTCCTATTTTGGGGCAGTCTAATCTGACCAGGATCAATCTTCTTCTAATGTATTATCATACCAAAGAATGGATTTCCTGGTATTTCTGTGGTCTGGGCACTGTTACTGTTATTTAGATTTTTATTATTATTATTAACATAATGGGAACATGTTCTCAAAAAAAAAAAACACTTTGTTTTTTATTGGTATAAATTTATAGGGTACAAGTGTAATTTTGTTACATGCATAGATTGCATAGTAGTGAAGTCAGGGCTTTTAGGGTACCCATCACCAGCTAACATACATTATATCTGTAATTTATCATCTTCTCCCCCCAACCCTTCAAAGTCTCCACTATCATTCCACATGCTACATTCACATGAATGTTATTTAGCTCCCAATTATAAGTGAGAACATGTGGCATTTGTCCTTCTCTGTCTGACTTATTTTACTTAAGATAATGGCTTCCAGAGCTATCCACATTGCTGCTAAAGACTATTTCATTCTCTTCATTCTTTGGCTGAATATTCCATGAACATTTCCTTTTTGCTCTAAAACATAGTTATATTAGAATTTTATAAGCACAAATAATCGTGTGTAATGTTTTTATGGGTGATACTGAAACTGCTGAAAGATCAAACATGTTGAAATTGTTGACTTCACAGCTAGATATATGTGCACTACCTTGTAAGTATGGAAGTTTCTAATAGTTTTAGGATCTTATTGGTATCATTTTTGAAGGGCCATTAATTCTTTGTTATTTTATCCTAATTTTCAGGTAAAGAAGATACTCCCTCATTACTTGGTCTCTGTGGGTCTCTAACATCAGTGGCAAGTTACAAGTCTCTAACAAGCCTAAAATCTAACGACTACCTTGCAAGTCCTATAACAGATATGACAAGTCCAGGCCTAACTCCATCCTGAAAAATTTTATGTAAAAGCTGAATGTTTTTATGTTGTAAATGTTCTCTTCACATAAGTTTGACTGTGGGGATGACCTCTGAAATTTTACATTGTTCTGCTACATGTCTGGAATTCTATTGCTTAGAGAGTTCAGTCCACTCCATGTAAACTTCTGGGTGAAAAACATAATGATCCTGCCATTTTTCATTTTAAAAATTCTTATATTTGTCATTGAGGAAGTTTAAAAATGAGTAAACTTAAAAAAAACTTTCAAAGATCCTCCAAATTAATAATTCATTGCAAAATGTACATATTTATTATTCAGCTGATTTTTATATGTTTAAATGTATCTGAGTGGCCAGAGACTGAGTTTATGGTTTTATTCCAGAGACTTAAGCTAAATATTTTTTCACTCTTTTATTCAGTGGTTAGATTTTCAAAAAAAAAAGATGAATTATTAATTTCATTTTTTCATTAATTTCTCATAAGTTCTAATGTTTAAATACTTTGTTAATATCCGGGGAAGGTTCTCAGCTGCATTTTCACAGTGGTTTATTAAGTTTTTCTTTTAACATTTATCATTTGGTATCAACATTCCACTTAATATTTTATACATTTTGTAGGAATGTGCCTGTTTAGGCAGTTACTGACTTAATTTGTTAGGCCATAAGTATTTTATAGTACAGGCAGTTCCTGGGTTACAGATGAGATAACATTCCTGAGAACGTCTTTAGGTAGGATTTGCATGTAACTTGGATCCCTGATTAACAGCACGTATATGGTAGTAATAATAATAATACTATAATGGCTCATATGTGGTAATAATACAGTGTCATACTGTAATACTAACAATATCCCTGTAACATATAATAAGAGGTTACAGAAACTATTGTGCTCTTTTTAAGTCAAAAACAGAACATAAAAACAAACTCATACAGAAAGTTTAAATAGGTGAGAGGAGAAATTTCAAAAAAAGAATATTAAAGGTTAACAATCACCTAATACTGCATCAATGTCTTGTTAGTGGAAGGGGTATTTTTGAAGCAAGAAGGCAGCTGACATTAATCAGAAGATGATGGAGATGGTGCTGGAGAGGATGGAGTGGGAGCTGAAGAATCAGGATTTGATTCTGTTGCTGGAGGTGGGGAGCTTACCACTGAAGTCAGTTTCTTGAAAAAGGTATCTAGGGTTGTTTGCAAAGCTTTTTTCTTTTTCATCATAAATGGCCTTGTAGCAGCTGATATTCTCACTAACTGCACGGTAAACTTTTGTAAACTGCTCATTGTCAGTACCTTGCTCCTCAAGCTTAGCAAATCCTGCTACAAGACAGAAGGCATCAGCTAATTCTTTTGTCATAAACTTTCTTGGCTCTGGATCTTCTGATTCTTCATGTTCTTAAGTTTCTATCAGCTACTTCCCTATGAGACTAGCCATTAGCATAGCATAAAGATGCTGTACCAACAAACCGCTTATGCCATGTGGGTTTCACATGCATGGAAGAAACTAGTTCCTGAATTATTAATTATAAATTATCTTTAAGGGGTGCCTTGGGAGCCCATTCATTAAATATGGAATGCTGAAAGTTGGGTCATGCATAACCCGGGGACTACCTGTATTTTAGGCCATTTAGGTAAACATGAATAAATTTCTTGTTTTCCCAAGATTTTCTTAAAAGGTGATCAATTTAAAAATATGATCAAGTATCCCCCAAAAGTTGGGAACATTTCAAAATGTAGAACAAATGTTGAAAAACTGTTTTATCAAGAAAGAGTGCAAGTTCAATTAAGGATTTGAGAAGCTTTTAAACAAAGATCAGTAAGGTAATCAGCATACTTAACAATAAATATGTCTGACATACAGTGCTGGGTTTTTTCCTTTTTGTACAACAATGAATTTGTGTCATGTGTTTGATAGCCTCTATCATTAATCATACCATAATCTCATTTTAAAATGATGTTAAAAATCCCTACATTTCTATAGGTAAATTAGTTTTTTTTAAAAAGCTATAATCTGTATTTTAAATCTTTTTGCAATTTTTAAAACAGCTTTCATCCCTAAAAATTCTACCATATTGAAAATGTGTGGAGTATATTTTCTATAGTAAGTAATATGAAGAAAACATGATTAGTTGTGCCAAAGAAGTTTTTTATATTGTTTACATGAAGAGGCCACAGTACTTATTGGGGATTTCCTAGGGTATTTTTGTTTATTAATAAAACATTACACTCAGGCTTAGTAGCTTTGACATAATAGGAAGAATGTTCCTCTTAAATCTATTTTATTGAGAAGAGGCAAGAAGAGCTGAACTTACTACATTCATTCTTTGTATTAGAAATGTAGGTGGGGTAGTTCTCTGTAATATTTAGAGCTTAGTATCATACTTTGGAATTTAAGATAATAGTAACAAGGCCAGTCTTCTATGTAAGACAGTACAAACAATGCCAGTTCAGGGACAAAGGAGACCTAGAAGCCCTTAAAATAAGTTATCTTAGATGTGCCAGAATACACTTAGAGCTTTATTACTTTAGCTTAAGGCTTTAACACTTGTAGAAATGCAAATATTCTTGAGAAATGGTACCTTTATTCTCAGTTCTGTATACCTTACTGTGAGTGAGGTATCCAAAGCAGTTTTTAATCAGCATTGAGGATAGAAGGAAGTTAGAGGACAATGAAAACTTTCGGAGTGAGGAAATGGATAAGGAGAGGAACTTTGAAAATCTTAGGTTGGTTTGAGCATTATTGCTGCTTTCCTAAGAACCATCAAAATATTTAAATGGTTTATCATTCATGGTCCACTCTCAACTGACATTATCCTTTAGTAATTAAAAAAATTAATTTTTTCCCATACATTTTTATAATGTAGAAGGAAAACCAAGATTCCATAAATGATAAAAATTTTCAGATTTGTCTAATGTATACAGTAATTTGTGCATCTTAACATGCTGCTAAATGCAGATTTAAACATAACATCTGAGGATCATGATTTTTCCTCCTTTTTTGGAGCTCTTGGTATAAAATTCATCTGCTTTTATGAAATAAGGTTTCTACACAGTTCATTTCACACTAAAGATAGTTTGTTATTGTTTGCATGAGGAAATAACATATGTCTCAATCTTTAATTTTAGGTGGTAGTGTTTACAGTTTACACCCCCCAAAAATGCTGAATTACATGCCAATATTTCCATGTGTATTTTGTTGCCTTGATATACTATACTTGTTGCATGTATATTAAAAATTTTGTACCATGCATTAGTGGTCTTATTTTTTCCTTGACAAAAAATTACCCGATTCAAGTTGTACACTGATGCTTTGTTTCAACAAATGTGGTATCCTAATATGAAGAATATTAGCATTTTATTTATTTTTGAAATAACCTTTATTGTTTTAAAAAGTTAATATATGGGAATATTAGCATTTTAGAAGAATATTGCAATTCTAAAATTCTAATATGAAGATGGAATTGGAGAAATTCGTATTTCAACTCGTATCAAAGGAAACACTATTTTTAGATAGTAATATGATACACTAGAATATAAAACATCTACTGAAGTGGTGGTACAGGTTAGTAGTGGTTCTGTGGCAGTGTTACTGATTTAATTACATAATAGTCATGTTCATTTTCTCACCTATGATAAGAATCATCACCATCTTCTTTGCCTAAGTGATTGCACCTGGATGATGTCAGCATTAAATGAAATCCTGTATATAAGTTGTAAAGCGATAAATGCTAATTAAAGCTGCTACTAATTATGATTGGCAGAAACCTTACAAAAGTAAACCAAATCAGTTAAGTCATTTTTATTAGCTTTATGTACAAGTTTTCAAGTGGTTATAAATGTGTCTCAAATTTACAACTTATGAAAATCCTTTAAGTTCCTACCATTAAGTAAAATATCCAGATTTTACCAAACTAACATTAGATTACCTCTGAAGTGTCAAAAGACTGCTTTAAACCTCAGGGTTCTTAAAATATTCTAAATCAGTTCACTTTGCTCTTCTGTAAGCAAAGCAGCTTCTATTTAGCATTAGCATTTGTTCTTTTTAACTGATAGGAAGGGGAAGATAAAATTTTATTTTTGTCATTATGGCATATTTTAAAGTATACTTTAGTATAAACAAAAACTTTTAGATTGTCTTCCTATTGTTGTCGTCTTCTTCCTTTGGCACACAAGGCCTCTGACCATATTCCTAATCTGATCTCCTACCACAGTCCCATGTATATACACTCTGCTCAATCCACATGGACTAAATTCTGTTGCGTTATTGAGACTCTCTGCATGTTTAATTGAATTGCTGGTCAGTCCAAGTCTTAGATTTCCATACTACTCCTTCTCTGTCCCCAGGGCTGAGTAAAGAGCACCTCAGATTTCCTAAAATGCCCTTGGCATACTTCTGTCAATCACATCTCTGAAACCTCCTATATAGGAAATGTCTTCATATCTCTAGTGCTTTTTATACTGCCTACCATATAAAAGGTCTGAATAAATATTGCTAGATTAAAAAATGAAAGCAGGCCGGGCGCGGTGGCTCACGCCTGTAATCCTAGCACTTTGGGAGGCCGAGGCGGGCGGATTGCTCAAGGTCAGGAGTTCGAAACCAGCCTGAGCAAGACCCCGTCTCTACCAAAAATAGAAAGAAATTAATTGACCAACTAAAAATATATATACAAAAAAAAAATTAGCCAGGCATGGTGGCGCATGCCTGTAGTCCCAGCTACTCGGGAGGCTGAGGCAGGAGGATCACTTGAGCCCAGGAG